ATATATATGTGTATATGTGTATATATATATATACATATATATACATATATATATATATATATATCATGACCAATGTCTCTATTAAAGCATCAAGAGTGAGAAGTGTTTTAAAGTGCATTATAACTCACAATAATAGGCCATCCAAAATATCGAAATGGCACAATGTCTTCTTCCATTTCGAACATAAACACTAAAATGGTGATCGTGCTAACGACTAGCGTTAGTATCACTGTGAACCAGATAAAGCCTGTTCCGGCCGGCTGCCAGCTTGCTACGCTAATGCTTATTATCACCGCTATCGTCACCACCTGCAAAAGTTCCAAAAACTGGTGTTTGTATTTCAAAATCTCTATCAGAAGGCACTACGAAATTTGTGGCTTGCATTAGAATTGTTCGGGCTTTCAAAAAATAATAAATTATGGAGAGCACCCGACAGCTGACGCTATTTTGCTTTCTGTGTATTTTCAGAAGAATACTTGTACAATAACTTCCTGCCTGAACTTTCATGTTTCCATACGTAGGAAACGCGCAAAAAAGAAACTAAATCTAAACTCCTAAAGTAACGCATGAATAAGAAATGTCCTTTTAATGTTTCATTTTTCCAATTGTCTGGGTTCTAAGTTAAAAAATTTCCTGTCAAAGCTTCCACACTTCTGACAAAGAATCCAAGCACATGCGAATTTAAAACCGTATTGACCGCGAAGAGAGGAAGCATTGTTTAAAGATTTTAGCTCAAAAGTGATGCCATAGATTTCAAATCATTTTGCATAATTTTTAGCTTAGTGATTTTATGATGGCATATAGTGCTGCTTTAACGCCAAACGCAGAGTTCATAAACCAAAATTCTATAACATAAAATTAATGCACGATTTGGTGGCTTCTTTTCTATTACAGTGGAGTTGCATATTTTTTTGTCAATTAATTCTTGTAGAACAGAATACTTAATCATAGCGCAAATGAAGCTACTGTTCTTAATCTAATTAACATTATCTGCATTCAAGTAAGCAAGAAAGTGCAGAGGATTTTCAATCTGCTTCAAATTTAGGCAGAGAAGTAAGTGCCGTGCACGCTCCTTAACTAACAAGTGAAGCTGCGTCGGGTTACTTCAGCTTCGAAAATATTTTACAGCAGCTGAATGGAGGTGTAACATCGCTAAACGACAGTTGATCAAGATATCTTGATAATATTACAAAAATGATCCTTACAGAACAAGACTTTCTCGAAGAGTCAAAATTTACCAGGTGTATTGGCTTCAGTATATTGGGAAGTGATAAAAATCTCAGCAAATTGAACGCCATTTCCCCAAACTGAAAATAATGAAAATTCATGAAACTTTTAAAAAAGAGAACGCCAGCATAAAAAATATATACTTATTCGCCAGTATGTTACACCACATCTACAACGAAAGACTACAGACTGCAGCTCCTGTTTGGCACTGGTAATATTATCAAAGCAACGTGCGTCAAAGAGAATAGTTGGACCGGTCGAATGACGAGAATGAGAGACAACAGATGGACAAGGCGAAATACTCAATGGTACTTTTGCAGTGTTAAAGAACGCAGGTGAGGCTACCTGTCTGATAAAAAGACTCGCTTTATGGTCACTTTGAAAGAAAGGACCCATGTAGAAATGGATGGTAAAGTTGCAAGCTGCATCACTGGCGAAAAGAAACGTTGGCGGTGAAAAAACAACTAATTAAAGCGCCAAAATATAAAGACAAGCCTGTTTCACGAAATAAAACATTTAATAGCTGACGTATGTGTCGTATAAACTGATCTAACAGAATGCTAAGGAGATGAAGCATTTTTTAGTTTTAGATATCTGTTGTCATTGAATCAATACATGCAGCCAAGGTGATGTCTTGAAAAGGAAATAAATATTACGCATTTTCATAAATAAAGTACCAAAACATTTCTTATTATTGTCATAATTTTATCAAAATAATTTTACTACATTTACCAATTTCTTGATATTGTTTCCTCGTTTCTTCTTCTTTCTACTTCAAAATACCTTTCTATATCAAACTATATTTAGAAGATTTTTGGAAAAACGAAATCTAGCTTGCTAAATGAGATGCTAAATAAATAGCGAAGGAAAGTGACAAATAATAAGTGTCAGTTTGATAAGTCACAAATGAATCAGTGTAAGAAGCGAGTATTTTATTATTATTATTACTATTACTATTATTATTATTATCAATATCATCATCATTACTATTGTCGACAACAACACCACCGTTATATAATCTTGTACAAGAAAAACGGTGGCAAGAACTAGAAGCATTCAACAGCACAAATGATGCAAGGCGCGTTCGTCAAAAGCATTCGAACAGGCATTTGTAAGCTTTATCACTAGAAAAATGTAGGACTCTCACCATGCAGTGCGCTTATCAGTGCTGCTCCAACGCGACCAATGTCAGCGTTCGAAGTGCTCCTGCAGTGAGAAAAAGAGACGGCACTTCCGCATCGAGATAGTCTTAGGTTTAAAAAAGAGACTCGTTTTTACGGTTTTCAGCCTAGTAGCGCCACGATCTACCGCACTACTGTCGTGTAAGAGTACATCAGCGAGACGAAACACATTTGACTAATTTTGCAATAAAAAGGATGTCGCATTTTTAGTAATTTTTCACACGCTTTAGCACTGTTGATTTAATTTGAAAATAATAGGGTAAGTCCGTATAGTTATTTGGTGCGGTTGTTTTTCAATAGAGCACGATCACATATTCCAGCTGCAGAATTACGAAAGCCGAGAAGTTATTAAATGTCGTTAGTCCACGCTCGAGGCTTCAGGCCTGAAATCAAATTCCATGTCGTTAGTGTTTTGGCATTTTACTTTAGATCCAATTTCAGACGAACTTTCTAATTCCAAAACCAAGAAAAAAATTATAAGCTGGAACCTTTTACATCAAAATACCGCATCGTGCACGAGTTTAAAAACGTAGAGAGAACTCTAGGTCTCCTACTGAGAAGAAATCAAGTCTAGAAATTTTGTGCAAAATTAAGAATCGAAATGATAAAATCGAGAACTTTTGAGCGAAAAGTTCCTAGCTGAGTACCAAGCCAAAAACCGGCGACCAAACGCGACCTATGCCTTGCTCTTTGGATTCAAACTCACATTTGAGCAAAATTTAAGCCTGTGCGATCATGCGTTTTAAAGCTAAACTTGCTGATTTTTAACAGCATGAATGGCTACTGTTTTGTAATTTAGCGCTTTTGCTCACTGGCTGTGTTTTGGTCTCTTTCCGCATCAAGTGGGGAAGGGCATCGGCTGGGATGGCGTTACTGTATTATAGGGCCACATAAGCTCCAGCGTGCGTGATTATCAATTCTCTGCATGAAGCCCAGTCGTCCTTCAGATAAATGCTCGTTCGTTGAAAAAGTACAGTTTAGAAGGTAATCGGAAGAGGATTCCAAATCCGCAAAGTGCATTCGTTTTTGAGCTTGCGATAAAGTTTAGTATTTGTTATGTCAGGGGATTTCACCTCCAAGCTGAATTAGGACCACACATGATTGTTAAATATCCTTGCAAGCTTTCAGCTTCGCAATTTGCCTGGTGAGCGAATTGACAAATTCGTTGCCAATATATTCTAAGTGCCCTAAATCCTGGCACAAGCAAAAATCGAAACTTAATTAAGGTACACGAGTTTTCACACCAACAACAAATATTCTGATAAAATTTCAGCTGTTGTATTCCCACTAGTTTTCGAGTTAGCACAGTGCCAGTTGTGAAATTTGATGTGACCGTGCCCGCGGTGTAGATGTACGCGGCAGCTCAATTTGATGTCTCTAGCTCATACACGCACAGAGAATATCCCTGCAAAATTTCAGCTTTCTCTCTTGTCTGGAACACCAAATCGTTTTCGCCAAAGAACAAAGGGGCAGCAGTGGCGTGATTAACCACTGCACCAACACCCTCTTTTTAGCTTTTTTCAGTAATTAATGATCTGCTCGATTATTAGTTTTACCATAAATTTTGCTTTGCAATTGTTTGCCAGTCTCACCTGAGTACTTAAGCTGCTGTGCAAGCGCCGAAAGATTCTGTCCTTGAGCATTGTTTACTGCGCATAATTAGCGCTTGTTGCGCGGTCAGTGGTTGTTTGCTTGACCATCCGCTGCCTCTCCTGAAATACGATTATTACAAACTATTGTTATTATTATCAAGTCATTTCAAAACAAATTTGGTAAATTTAGGGACTTTTCAATAGATTATTGCCAAAATTTTCGCTCATTCAAACAGGACCACTTTATTATGGCCACCAAATTTACCCTGCTCTCAAGAATAGCCTTTAGTTAAACTGTTGAAAACGCGTAGATCCCGGTCACTTCTAAAATCGTATACTTGCTTCGTTTTCGCTTGTGCAAAATTAAACCGCTTTTCCTGCTCAGAGTTAAAATTCTGTTTTGAATTTACTGGGTCATCTTTCAGCTAGCCTGAAATTGAACAGGAACTAAAAACGCAGTAGAAGGTGAAAACGGAAGTTTTGACTTTTTGAGTTTGGTTAGCGCAATACTTTGTCTGCGAGTAGCTTGGCGGGACGATTAAGTAAGAGTAGCAGTTTGACATTCCAATTGGAATTCCAATTCGTACAATTTCGCATTTACTTTCCAGAAATTCACAAATTGTCAGATGGCCATGCATGAGATATAGGTTTCATTTTCCTTTATAAATTCTTCAAGAAGCAAAACCTGATAGCTACGATGGAGATATGTTGCTTGATACCGTAATAACGGCTGGCGGAAACTGGAAAGAATTGATGTGCTTAAACTTTCACTCAAGTAATTTCTCCATTGGTACCATAGCCAGAACATTTATTGGTCTCCTGACAATATTCCCGTCTTTTTCCCACTTTTTAGCTCCATCAGAGGAAGTAAGGCTTTGGAGAACATCAGAAAAGTTCAATTTCAGTTTGGATTTAATCAGGTGGTATTGCTGTAATTGAGGGACCGATGATCAGCTATTACGGCAGCGGTAGTTTTTTCCTCGATCAGCAAGCAGTTGAGCAGCTGATAATTCAGGTAACACTGCTCGATTTTTCTTATGCAGTAGCAGGAAAAATTATTGATAAGACAAATGCGGTGCTGAAGTTCTGTCTTTCAAGGAGAATCAGAGAAGAAACTAGCCAGTGCTTCTGTATGAAAGATTTGATAATCTTTAAAGTTACATCTGGAAAAATATAAGGGCGAAGCAAAAAAGAAAAGGGGCCGACGCGAGGTGATGAGAAAATTAGGTGACTCAATTTTTCTTGTTTTAAATAAGCGACGATTGAATTTTCGGTTTTTGCTGTTAGTTCATGTTTCAAAAAAGCTTGATTTCAAAAAACAAAAGGGTTTATTCATCAGTGTGCTTTGTAGCAGTCCTCGAAAGAGAAAGCCGTCGACAGCAGGTGGTTGCTTTTAGCACATGTTAACACCCAGATAACTTCTGAGTGCCTCCGTTTTTCATCGAAAGCGAGTACAGAGAAGCTTTTGAGTTTCGGTTCTCCCTTGTCAATAATTTCTGAGAAATTTTTTTCAAAAATAAAAACTAATTCACTAATTCAATAAAAACTAATTAGTCAGTGTGCTTTGTTCGCTTTCAACAGGTGTACACTGGCAAACAGTAATTTAGTAAATTATTCTATATCACGGAGGCATTTCCGGTCATTGACTGCGATATCTTTTAAAGTAGTGAAAGTCTTCCTAATTTTTTAATTCTTGTACATGCCTACTCATTTTTTTTTTTATCTAGCCTCATTTGGTTGAAAACCAGTTTTTGCAGCTAAAAAACAGTGATGTTGACGATTTTCGCGCTTTCCTCAGACTTATGCCTCCGATAAGTCAACTTATACGCTCGATACCGCATACCTTAACATTGCTTGATGTTATTGTCACAAAAAGTCTCAAGGTAAAAAAGTTTTTACTAAAAAATTGGCAGTTTCCTCAAACATATTTTGCATGATCAGTAGGGTCATTTTTGCAGAGCTGCTTATAAGATGATAGCGAATTAACAATGAATTGACCATTACGCAAGTTACGACAGCTTTTTACAATATTCAAAGGACTCGAATTGTTCTTCTCTTATTTTTTTCAAATAATTCGTGAAAGAAACGGCTTGGGGTGATTAAATGGCAAAACGATCCTGAAAATTTGAATTTTTCTACTTCTTTAAATGCTAAAATTATTGGAAACTATGCCGTAGCAAGGATTTGTTAACTTTGCACAAGGATCCGCATCTTCCTCAGTAAGAAATATTATAGAATGCAGAACAATTGACTCTTATGTTTTATCCACAGTACTCAGAAAATCTAAACAACTGTAGTTTAGAAGCAATCGGCTGCAAATGTTTGCAAAATTTTGCGCATATCTTTTAAAGTAGTGATATATGGCACGTTACGGAAGAGATTTTGCTAGTCGAACGATCCTTTAACGGAGCTTTAGATTCCAAGGCATGCATTCAGAAATTATCTAGTAGAAATTATATCTAAATTTACAGTTTCACAAAAGTAACAGCAACAAAGCGGCCCTTCACTACCATGAGTTATTCAACCAGCTACTGTGGTGGATTGCTTACAACGAGCAAAAGCGCACTACGCAAAACGAGCATTCGAAAGTTTCGTCGACACGAGCCAAACTCATCGATATCACCAGTTCGGACTTATCCTTGGCACATTTTGAGGTCATCATTTATCAGTATATTAAATCATATTTATTGGGCCTCCTTTTTCCCTGGTACTGTAATTTCCAGATCACGTTGATGTACTTTGCCCTTCCAAAAGTTGTCTATTAAGTTTTGTATGAATCTAAGCTTGAATTCCACAAATTTAGGATTGGG